TCGAATATTTTCCACAAGAAGAAAGAAGGAGACTTTCGTAAAAATGAAGGCGGAGCTAAATTTACCGGCGGGATTCCGATTTCATCCGACGGACGAAGAGCTTGTTAAGTTTTATCTTTGCCGGAGATGTGCATCGGAACCGATTAACGTTCCGGTTATCGCAGAGATTGATCTTTACAAATTCAATCCATGGGAGCTTCCAGGTAAAAAATTAAAACCCTTTGAGATTGGGTTTTTGTGATTTTTTCATGAATTTTGAATTTTAAAAAATTCGAATTTTTTTGGTTGCAGAAATGGCTTTGTACGGAGAGAAAGAGTGGTATTTCTTCTCACATCGAGACCGGAAATACCCAAACGGTTCACGACCAAACCGGGCAGCTGGAACGGGTTATTGGAAAGCGACAGGAGCTGATAAACCGATTGGTAAACCGAAGACATTAGGGATTAAGAAAGCACTCGTCTTCTACGCAGGGAAAGCTCCCAAAGGGATAAAAACGAATTGGATTATGCACGAGTATCGTCTCGCTAATGTTGATCGATCTGCTTCTACGCACAAGAAGAACAATTTACGAGTACGAATCTTTGACTCGAAATTTTGTGGATTTTTTTGTCTCAATATCGATGATTAATGGGTTTTGTTTTGTTGCAGCTTGATGATTGGGTTTTGTGTCGGATTTACAATAAGAAAGGAACAATGGAGAAGTATTATCCGGCGGATGAGAAAACGACGGCGATGACTTCTACGTCGGACTCGAAATGCTCAAGTCACGTGATTTCGCCGGACGTCACGTGCTCCGATCACTGGGAGGTTCAGAGCGAGCCCAAATGGGTTGATCTCGACGACGCCGCGTTTGACGTGTCCATGTTTGGCTCCATCGACTTATTACAAAATGACGCTTTTGTCCCTCAGTTTCCATACGAGTCCGATTTCGCCACACCGTTTCAAGACCCACCGGAGCAGAAACCGTTTGCGAATTGGAGCTTTGCTCCTCAGGGGTAAAATCGGAAAGAGCTAAAACAAATTGAAGCTTTTGCCGAGTATTCCGGCCACTGCACCGGAGGGAACTCGGTGTCGGATCGTGACCCGGAAACCAAGTCGGGTCAACTTCGGGATTCTGCAGTATCTGATGTAGGGAGGGAAATGGGTTTCCACTGGTTGATCAGACTCATCAGAAAGATTCAATTTTTGTTTATAAATGTCTAAAGATGCTATAAAAGTAGATTGATGATACAGAGGAAGTGTAAAAGCAATAGTGACCAT